TAATAATGAATCGCATGGAATCACCATTTATTTAATAAATAAATAAATCTCCTGGTAATAGTTCCTAAGAGTCCAAAAAATTAACTTACCATCCCTATAAACATCTATTTTTATCTAAATATTTGCAAATTTCCTCAATTTATTCAACAAAACCCTTAAGAGTATATAATTAACTATCGTACTAGATAATGAAGTTAAAATCATGGCAGCCGCAAACACGATAAAGCCTTGCGCAATCCAAATAGCTATGGAAATATATTAAAAAAGGAAGAAAATTTCTGTCAAAACGTGTAGTAAATATTCCATAAGCGTTGGAATAGGAATATATATTTTGCATAATCCATATTTTTCCTTCTTATATAAAATATCCTCCTTATTATTTTCTAATCCATTTTTATGCTTTTAATATAATTCTTCTAAAGTATAATTCTCAACATCCCTATAATAAACTGGAATAAATCCTTATTATTCCGCATCATATTCATATTTTAAATGTCTGTTTATAAATCCAAATTTGCTATTTTTATATTTTAATTTTTTAAGTATATTATATGTTTGATATTTATTTTAAACTAAAAAATGAGTACAATCTTACAATTTATTACATTAACTATATAGAGATTTTAATCTTAGTTTGACACTATATTTCAATAAAATAGCATATATTCCAAAACTAATTATTGTTAAAAATACTGTTATTAAAAGCTTTTCTATTTTTAATTTAAGTGCAAATATATCTTCGATAATCTACTGTCCTTCAACGTCGTTTGCAAGTATTTTTAATTGGTTTTTATTTTTTAAAATTGGATATTGAATAGTTTAAGAAGATTTATTTTAATTAGACTATGTACTTTTTCTTTAATCATTCATTTCATTTAATACATTTAAACATACTTTAGATTCAGCTCTGCATTTAAAATTTTAATCTGTATATAACATTTTTTTATGTTTATATTTTTTTTAATTAATTTGTATTTCAATATATAATTACTATAAAAATTATTTTATGTGTATTTAAATTAAACAGAAATTTTAATTGATATTATTTCTATAAAATAA